CATCAGTTCCTTTGCTGTCTATGCCCCCCGTTAAGCATATTCACCCTCCCTATCTGTCCTGCTTACCATTATCATTGAAAGTTAAAGAACCCCCACATTTCAGGTTGTCCCAAGAAAAGTAATAGAGGGGAAAACCTCCAATAGGGACACTAGTTCTGGTGACCGGGGGGTCCCCAAGGAATTCCCTTAATTTGCAGGGATTTCTGCTCACTTCCTCACTTCACTACCACTTTAAACCCAAAAGCAAACATTTATTTTAGTGCAGCTTACCGATTCTTAGATGTGATGGGACATTTTTTTCTCAATTTCTTTTTAAAGCTTTCTTCTATTTTCATCTGGTGATCCAGCCGTCAAGGCCGATTTTCAAAAGCACAGGCTCTCCAGCCGAATGTATCAGTTTACATGGATGAGACACAGGCATGGGTGCTTAAAATGGTCAGATTTTATTTATTTATGTAAACCCTTTATCCTAAAAGGAAAAAATTGTTGTCTGTAGCAGATTAAAGTGTGAGCTGGAGTTTGGCTTTAGTTTGTCAGTGTATTTAAATCTGCTAGTACATCTAACACTCCCCTTTCCCCCAGACTAAAATTGCTGGTGTCTAAATAATACAGGAAGTATGTTACATGCCAGGTCACCTGGTGAAAACAGATGGACAAAGCCAAAAAAAAACTAATGCAGCCAGCACATCTAATGATTGGTAAGTTGTAATATATTATATTTTTGCTTTTGGGTTTAATACCACTTGAATCTCCGCAACAAATGCACAAACAGACATAAAAAACCTGACAGGGGGGTCAAATTCCTCACCACTCTATGCAAAACAAACCAAAAAAAAAAAAAAAAAAAAAAAAAGGAGGTTTGCCTTCAGCTATACTTTAAGCTTAATTACAACTCTGTTAAACACGGTTAGCTTTTTAGTTTTGAACGGCTTTACCAGTATGTGCAACCAATGAGCCATCATGTCTGACCAAATGAAGAAACATTCAAGAGAGCAATAAAAGGCAATGCCACATTAAAAAAGTTGATGGTCAAATGGCACTTCTTGTACCAAGATGACAATGTCAGGTGTACTCTCTCAGCATAAAGGACAACAAAAACTGACGGCTCAGAGATAACTCAAGAATTTTTAAGTGCACTATATATACACACACACACACACAATACTATAAAACCTGTACAAACATATAAATCAATAATAAAATACTATGCCAAAAGAAAGTCAAAAATCTTATAATTTTCTAGGAACTACAAGGCAATTCATTCATCACATCACAGATTCATTCAGATAATGGTATCTAAAAATGAAAACACAGATGTAAAAGCTAAAGAAATTAGCATTCCCCATTCTGATTAATGTATTTATTGCTTATGTGGATGGGAAAGGTTGCTTAACCTGTAGAGTGTGATGTGCAGCGAGAACAATACAAGTAAACATAAGGACAGAGGGTGTCAGAGTGAGCAAAGATACACAAATAACATTCCCGGAAACCAACACATGGCTCTATGGATTGCATTGTTTGGAAAAATGTTCATGTGGACAACAATCTTATTCAGCTATTCCTTTAAAGGGCACTGGCATTTGTGTCACATAACTCCTATTCTGCTATTTTTTTCACCCACCACAATTATACATTCATATTCAAACATCCGTAAGCAAAAACATAAAATGATTTTTAAAGAGATGACCACAATCCAGACAGCTACAAACGCATGACAAAGCTATGCAAACGACAATACTCCACTGTTATTCTTAAATACACTGTACACATATTTTTCAGATAGCTTGCAAAATAAATTAGTTTTTTCAGGTAAAAGCATTCAAAATTTAGCAAGTCCTAATAACCACTGAAAATATTAAAAGTAAAAAAAAAAATAATAATAACAATATGAAGCATAACCTGCCTCAGCAGCAATAAGCCACATTTCTAGGAAGAAACACAAGTAGACTTAGTTGCTGCCTACTAAAGGATAACAAGGAGCTATACAATACTAAACATTTTGTTTACATGGATTTAGATGTCAAGCCTGCCTTGTATTGCAAACATCATAAGGCTGTTTCGGCTTCAAATGGATAAAGCAAAGAAGGTGCATACATTCCAACTGCATGCAACAGGAATGAAAACAGACATGTTCTCCCTATAGCTAGCTGTACCATGCTGCTGCAAAAGCCCCTTCAATAAATGCAGAAATAACACACAATTAGACAAGACACTGACCTTTAAGGGACCAAGCATCAGCAATGAATGTTTTTTGTCAGCTACCCTCCAGGTGACTGCTGCTTCATCAGTAAATAGGTTATCATACCTCTATGAACGCCTCCTCTCCACCTATCTGGATTTCTTTATGCTACCAGGGAAGCAAAGGGGAGGAGGTGATGAATTTATTCGGGAGCCCTCATGGATGATTAAAAACACTTCCATACACATAATCCCTGGGGTCCCTGCATGTGTTTATTCCCATCCCTGTCAAATGCCCCTTCCAGTCTATTGTACTGTTGCTTAATTCTTCATTTTCCACACTATAGGAATATTGTGAAGGAACACAAAAGAGGATGTACCAGGAGACAGTGTTATGGAGGAGAAAGGGGCGTATCAAAGTGGGGGAGGTGGCTGAGGAGGCTTTGTTTACGATGGATTGAGGAGGGCTTATTTATTTTGATGGAGTTCAGGCTCAGCTGTAACCTGCAGTCTCCAGAGAGGTATAGAAAGGAGGAGAAAGTCATAGAAAGACAAGCAGCACAAAGCCATGCTACACAAGGATGTATACAAAATAAAAATGATACATCTGACCATTCAACTTCAAAACCTTGATTGGGCTGAATGTAAAAAGGTTTGTACGATTTGTTAATCCATGCTGCTAACTTCCACACATGTCCTTCTGAGCCGAGTTCACCTAACATGCACGGCGAAGTATATCTGCATGTTGAGTAAAAACAGGATCTACAAAAGGTCTGATTGGTGTCGATGGAATGAACAAAAGCCCTACATATGGTGCCCTTATAGAGCAGATGGAAGGCTGTAGTGTTTCTACAAAGCAAAAAAAAATTGTTAAAGCAGTGATCCCTAACCAATGGACATCTTTGTTGTTGCTTGGAGACTAACAGTTAAGAGGCTTATTCCATAAGGCACTGAGAAGTGCAAAAAAACAAAAACAAAACAGAAATCAAATCATAGCAACCAAACAGATTTTAGTTTTGCGTAGTTAGATTTTGTGATGGTTGTCACGGGTTACTGCATATCCCCAATGCACTTGATATCTCCTTAGTTATTCACTAAGGAACATTTTGTCTTGCAGAAAGCACACTTTATTACAGTGAACATGAGCAGAGACAGTTTATGATCTCAAAATAACAATCAAAATAAAAAAGAATAATAATCAAATAAAAAAAAAAGGAGAAATTAGACAAAGACAAAAGTAGACTGGCTTTTCATGTTCTGGCTCTGGTCTACAATTATCAGACTGTCTGTATGTGCAATGTTAGAAAAAAAAAAAGCTAGCATTGCAATATTAAAAGCCTGTATGTATCACCTCAGGGCATCTTTGGCTAGCAAGCAGTCCAAAAAGTTTACCATGATTTCCTGAAACACATTTCCTTGTTTTCAGAATCCCTTAGTAACGTGTACAATAAAATAGCTGGAATTCTAGTTTAAAAAAGTAAGATATAATATTACTGAATAAGAAAAATGGATTTTTTACCCTGATTTGCTGACCAACACTACACAAAACCTGTAGCTAGTATTCGGTTGCTCTGAGCAACATTTATTTTTTGTTCACATTGGTTTCTGAAAATAAGCCCCAAGGGCCTACAGAATGCAATTGCCATAGTAAACTGAAACACTAAAACTCTACTGAGAAGCATTTGACAATTTTAGCATGCCCTAACAACTTAGAAAAACACAATTTCTGACAGCAGATAGGTGGAATGTTAGCAATGAGGAAAAGTCCATGCAAGGTATGAACATCTACATTTGATAATAAAGCAAGGAAGGAATATGCTACTAAAAACACATCACAACTCAGAGGGAAAACATAATGAAAAAGAATTTAAAATAGATGTCTTTAGGGAGCTTATTGAAGCCCCTGTATAGGGCTATAATAGACTGATATTTTTATTTTCTTTTTACTAACAGATTTATCCACTTGTTGGCACGTTTCTCAACAAGCTATAGCTACACAGGAGAATTTTAGTAGATCAGTTATGCTACTAAAATGGCTAGTGATTATTTGCTAGTAGTAGCCATTGGTCACTAAACAGATGGGAGAAATGGTTCCCTATGGAGTAAGCTACACCCAGCATGTAATAGAATTTAATCTTGCATGATTACACAATGCTCCAAATCAAGTGAGATGGATCTACTGCATGCTACTTGTGTGGCTTACACCACATGGAGCCATTTGTTTCAACTACTACTCCTAACTCCTAAAGTGATACTAAATAATATCCTTATTCTCCATAACTTATCCATACACATCCACCACTTAAAGTATATGTGAACCCTCACCTTGTAACACGACCCATTCAGTTTAACCTCCCTAGCGGTATGATTATTTCAGATTTTTGGTGCTGAAAGCGGTACCATTATTTTGCATTGAAATATGTAGTTTTTTTTATATTAGAGGGTTTTATTTTTAGGAATAACTCACTGAAATCTGTCTGAACAAGAGTCTATTAAACATCCCGGGTAGGATAAAATTTGAAACACGAAATCATAAATTATAATTTAATAAATAATCATAAAAAATAATAATAATACATTTAATTCAATAATATAATCAAACCAAAAACACTGAAATTTGAAATATAGCGCCAAGTTCGCACATTGCTGAGCAAAGTCGCAAAATCGTTTTCAGTGTCTGATGACGAATTTCCCCACGAATCATTATCACTCAATTCTGCAAGTGGTTCTGATTTACTATCGCTGTTCTCTAGCTGATCTAAACCTGCTTTTGACCTAAAGGGATGCTTTTTGGACGCCATGGACTTTTCTCAGTTTCCAGGCAGAAAGAACAGACACAATGCAGGCAGGGCACAGGACAAAGCAGTAGGGACAAATGTATGTGAAATGGGTTGAAACAGCAATGTTTTACTCTGTAAAATTTGTGTGGAAAAAAATGACATTTTTTTAAATTTTCAAATTTTTCCGCCGGCGGCGACGGCGGCCGTACGTCCCGACGTCACAGGGACTGGAACACAGAATCCGGATGCGGCATCGGCTGGAGGAGATGGCCGGGGACGCTGCAGGGGACACATCGCGGGAGCGCAGGACAAGGTAAGCTCTGCAGGGAATCCCTGAGCAACGCCGCATGGTAAGCCCGAGTGTAGCTCGGAGTTACCGCTTTTGGTACTTTCATTTTACCCCGAGCTACACTCGGGAATACCGCCAGGGAGGTTAACCGCTTCCAGCCCGCAATGTACTGTGGAAGGGTGGCAGCTACAGGCAAAGCGACATACCTGTACGTTGCTCTGGCTGTACTAACACAGGGGGCGCACAGTGCTCCCCCCTCGCGACTGATGTGTCCAGCAGACTCAACGAAATAAAGACCCCGGTGAACGGGACCCGGTTTTCATTTGATCACTTGATCACAATGTAAGCAAAGCTGTTATGAATCTCATTCATAACAGCTCTGCTCCTGTTCCTAGTGAGCTGTGATTGGCCCACAGCTGTCACATGATACATGGGGCCAATCACAGCACCCTGTACCATGTAACCAGCTCCAGCCAATCACAGATCACTATTCTGAGCTGTCAAAACATAACTCATTCATGACAGTTCAGGTTCAGGAGAGCAAGCTTCGCATTGCAGGAGAAATGATCTTTATTTCTCCTGCAAAACAAAGTGTTCTAAAAAAATCAGGGAATTTTTTTTTTTTTTGTTTTTCTTTTTGTAACTACTTGCCAACTGCTTACCCGCATTTTGCGGGTGAGCAGCAGCTCTTGGGGTATGCACGCACCTGCACGCACCGCCCCCACCCGTCGGTCCAGGGGAGAAAAGAGAGAACATTGCACCAAGTAAAAGCACAACATTTTACACACACGTTAGAGTAGCACATTTAACTCTGAGATCGCCCATATTAACCCTTTGATTACCCCATCACCCACCAGTGCCATTAGTACAGTGTCAGTATATAGAATTTTTCACTGATCACTGTATTACTGCCACTAGCGCCATCAGATAGATTCAGGGTCAGTAAGCACCCCTTCCAGCCAGGGTCAGCTGACATTAGATTGCCTGCACACTATAGGTCGCGGATCACCCCCATTACTAGTATAGTGTTTGTACGGATCAATATATTGATGACAAACAGAACTATACTAGTTCCTCCTTTGTATAGTGTTCCCAAAAACGCAGTGTTAGCAGGATCAGCCCTGTTTTCTGCAGCACTAACATTTAGCCCTTCCGCTGTTTCACAGAAGATTTGTACCAACTGATTGTGGGCCAAGGCAATTTATACGCACAATACATTGCCGCCCATCCAAATTCAGCTCTTGCCAGACAATTTGCATGGAAATCTATCACGGTTTCTGAATTCGAAACTCTTTTGGGCCTTACCCTCAACATGGGCCTTACAAAAAAGAATGAATTGTGGTCATATTGGTCCACAGACCCAATTCATCATATGCCCATGTTCTCTGCTGTTACATATATGCCCAACAAGGACCCAGCAATGTACTTGTACATCACTGGACTTTGAGTGGTTATATCAGGATGATGCTTGCAGCTACAGGCATCATCCTGGTATAATTTTTTTCAGCTGGCGGTTGGATTTCATGTAAAAGCAATCCTAGTGGCCAATTAGCTGTCGAATTGTTTTTATGAGCAGCGGGAAGGGACATACCACCCCCCGTCCTGCTGCCTTCCACGGTTTTCATGGGCTCTCCTGTCCCACAGGGGAATCCGAGAATGCAACCGGCAGTTCCGTTACGAAGCTACGAGCATTTCATCACTTCAGTTTCGCAGGATATAAACAGCACCATTTGTAAATTGGGAAAGCATCTGATCACACTGATCTTGGTGAGATTAGATAATGTAAGGGCAGAGGAGATATCTATTGTCTGATAGACCCCAGATTTCTCAAAAAAGAATCTATGATAATGCCCATTGATTTTGTAGGGAATATTTGCATTCCCTGTGATAGCATTAAAAGTGATTAAAAAAAAAGAAAAAAAAGCATGAAAAGGGACAGTGTAAAAATAATTGGAAAAAAAAAAAAAAGCACCCTTGCCCCCCTGTGCACCTGCGTGCGCACGAGAGTCGACTCTGTGCTGGTATGTAAACAGTGGTTACACCATGCATGTGAGGTATCGCTGTGAAAATTAGATCAATGGCAGTAATTCTAGCACTAGACCTCCTGTATAAACTGGTGACCAGTAAAGGCTTTTAAAGCATCGCCTAATCGATAATAAAAATGTATATATACTTTGTTGCCATTGCACGGGCATGCGCAATTTTAAAGCATGTCATGTTTGGTATCTATTTACTCAGCATAACATCATCTTTTATATTTTATAAAACAATTGGGCAATATATTATGTTTTTGTGCATTAAAATTCTAAAAAGTGTATTTTTCCCAAAAGATTTGCATTTGAAAAATTACTGTGTGACGTAAAAAATTTCAACACCCACTGTTTTATTCTCTAGGACCTCTGCTTTAAAAAATATATGTTTGGGGGTTCAAAATAATTTTCTAGCAAAAAATAAATCTGTTTTTTCATGTGAACAAAAAGTGTCAGAAAAGGCTTGGTCTTCAAGAGTGGGTGATGTGTGGCATAAGCTTCTTCTGTTGGCCCTGAAATGTCAGGATGGTAGAAGCACCCCCTCCAAGTTACCCCTTTTTGGAAAGTAGACACACCAAGGTATTTGCTAAGAGGCATGGTGAGTGTTTTGCAGATCTCATTTGTTGCCACGTTTTTGGAAACCCAAGAAAGAAAACAAAAAAAATTTATTTTTTTCTTTTCTTTTTCAAAACCCTGTAAAAAAAAATTATATTTGTAAAATACTAACCATGCCTCTTATCAAATTCCTTGGGGTGTCTACTTTGCAAAAGGGGATCATTTAGGAGGGGGGGGGTGTTTGTACTATCCTGGCATTTTAGAGCCACTGAAACTGTGATAGGTAGTGGGGAAGTGATATGAGGAAATATGCCCTTTGAAAGCCTGGAGGTGGTCATTGGATTTTGGGGGCTTGTATGTAGCAGACTGGCAAAAAGTCTCTCACATGTGGTATCCCCATACTCAGGAGAAGTAGAATAATGTGTTTTTTGGGGTGTTATTACACATATACCTATGGCATGCATGAGTAATATATCATTAAAGTGACAACTTTGTGTAAAAAAAAAACAAAATTGTAATTCAAAAAATTTGTGGCAAAAAAATAAAAATGTTCCATGGACTCAACATGCCTCTGCAAAATCCTTGGGGTGTCTACTTTCCAAAGAAATATCATTGGGAGTGGGGGGGGGGGTTGTGTACTGCCCTGGCATTTTAACACCTCAAGAAATGTGATGGGCAGTCAGAGTCAAAGTAAAAACTACGTAAAATTCCAGTATATATGCCATAGTAGACACTATAACTCTCACACAAACCAATTAATATACATGTACTGGGATTTTTTTTTTTTTTTAACCAAAGACATGTAGCAGAATCACTGATCACTGTAAATTACTAAATTTATGACTAACAAAATTTATGACTTTGAGTTTATTGGATATATTTTATAACCAAAATTGCGGTTTTATTTTTTGCGCTATAAACGAAAAAAGACTGACAATTTTTATGGGAAAAATAAGATATCTTTCAAAGGTAATCAAATACCACCAAGAGAAAACTCTGTTTGAAAAAAGGACATAAATTTCGTTTGGGTACAGCATTATACGACTGCGCAATTAGCGCAGTGCCAAACAGCAAAAAATGGCATGGTCAGGAAGGGGTGTAAATCCTCTAAAGGGCAAGTGGTTAAAATAGAAATGAAAAGGCAAAACAGTTAACAGTTATGTATAGACAGAGCAAAAGCAGTACCCTGATCTTCCCAGTGAACAGCTGTGTGTGTGTGGGGGGGGGGGGGGAGTTAGAAATACATACTTGAATAGGAATAGAATATTAATAGAATATTAGTTACATATAGTTTAGTGTCACTTTAACTGCATCAGCTTCCACACCATAGCAGATATACTGCTACAGGGCGGCAGCGCAAAATCACGTATATATACGTGATTTTGCATTTCCGGGTAGGGGGCACGTGCACTCTACCCTTGCCACCATTCACGGCTGCCAATCACCGGGTCCTCATCGGCGCCTGGTGATTGACGAGGATCTTCGACGGGGGGGGGGTTAGTAAACAAAACAGTTCTCCTCCCTGTCAGCTCCTGCACACTGCTTTGCATGGCACAGCACAGCCATACAAAGCAGTTTGCTTACACAGCAGCACGCATTCTAAAATGGCACAGACCACACAGTTAACCCTTTGATCACCCAGTACCATTAGTACAGTGTCAGTGTTTTTTTTTTTTTTAGCACTGATCACTGTATTGGTGTCACTGGGGATGTCAGTAACACCAAGCCAGTTCTCCCAGTGTCAGAATGCCAGCCGCAGTCCCACTATAAGTCACTGATCGCTGCCATTACTAGTACAAATTTAAAAAAATTAATTAATTAATTAAATAAAAAAACAGCCCAGTATATATATATACCGCCATTTGTAAACAATATAACTTGCACATAAACCAATTAATTTGTACATATTGGGATTTTCTTTTAGCAAAGACATGTAGCAGAATACATTTTGGCCTAAATTTATGAGGACATTTGATTTTTTGTTTAATAGCAAAAGTCAAAAATATTGTTCTTTTTGTCAAAATTGTCGGGTGTTTTATAGCGAAAAAAAAATACAAAATGCACAGGTAATCAAATATCACCGAAAGAAAGCTCAATTCGTGGGAAGAAAGGACGTAAATTTGGGTGCAGCATTGCATGACCGCGCAATTGTCCATTAAAGTAACGCAGCGCAGTAACACAAAGAATGGCCTGGTCAGGAAGGGGGGTAAATCCTCTGGAGGGAAAGTGGTTAATCTTTAGCAATTTTATTAGCAATATTAAACTGCTAAAATTTCCAGTGTATCTGTAGCCTAATGAGACGACTGCCAACAAGTGAATAAATCTCTCAGAAGCAGACTACTAAAATTGCCCATGAAGTTCAAGCCATATTCTGGAGATATCCAACGGTCACCAAAAGATCTTAGGTACAGTCATCCTGAGCTACATCCTAAGCAGTGACCATCAGGCTATAAATAATAATACTTTCCATATTCTCTATCTCACCAGCAGTAGTCTCAATGCAGAAAATAATTGCATAATATGTCATTATGCTCTGACTAAACCCACTGAAGAACTATTTTTATCTAAAATGATAGAATAACACAAGAAGACCATAGCAATTTAAACACCATAGTCATTTAATGCTGAATTACCTTGAGTCCCCATGCTCAATTGTTTTAATATACAAGGTAAACCTAACAATCATGTGCCTGTCCCTTGAATAGGACATTTAGAATGGAGGCATGAACATAAATAGCAAATGTGTGACTGGAACAAAAATCGGAATTGACTTGTGAGCAGGCAGTAGACACAACACTGGCAGGAGTCACTGAATTATTTACATGCAAGAAATGCTAAATAAGTGGCATTTCTAACAATAGTGTAATTTTAGAAGTATGTAATTATTTGTTTCTATTTTTAGGCAGGTACTGAAGAAGTCATAATAATATGAAAGATGGGCAAGCAGAAGACAGAACCACAGGCGCCATATGAAAGACTGATTCCAAAGACCAGAAAAAAAAAAAAAAAAAAAAAAAAAAAAAAAAAAGCACTAGCATTACATTCAGTTTCACACTGGCTCCACTCCTTGGCGCCTAGTGTACACAAATATGTAGCCTCTTGGTGGCTGGGCCATGGCGCCGAGGGGACGCATATTTGCGTACCCAATGTAAAAACAACGTGCCGAAAGCGAGCGCCACTGGCACATTTACCGGCTACTCACGGAAAGGTCCCGATCGCTACTTGCGGTCGGGAGCTTTCCAATCATGTTACAGCCAATCACTGCGGTCACATGACCCTAAAACTCTGCCCCTCCTCCCGACGTCACAAACCCCTTAAAGGGCCGAGGTGCCGCCACCAAGGGGTTAAAGTGGTAGTAGACTCAATTTTTATACTCTTACCGATGGGTAAGCTTATAATAAAATTAATACCTCCTAAATGTGCACTGTTAAGGAGATATCATAGTGAGCGGCAGATGGTGATATGCGTTCTGAAGGAATGGCAAACCCATGCCGTTCTTTCGGAGCTGCGTGCCGTAGCTCCCACACACGTGCAGGAGTGACCTCAACATGGCTTCGGCCATTCAAGTGGCTGCAGCCTGGGAACCCCGAAGGAGGATCAGGTGAAGATGGAAGCCTCTGCAGCTGTGACAGCGTGCCGCAGGAGGACATTGGTCTCAGATAAGTCTTTCACATTGTGACATTACCTTGCAGGGGAATTTTTTTTTTTTAAGGTTTACTACTGCTTTAATCCATGATACTATGTGCACTGTGTTATATTCATTTAGAAAGGTACCCCAACGTGCACATACAGTAGTTTCCAATGCACCTGATCTATAGCACACGACGCACATACCATTGTGGATAACTGCATTACTGAAAAAGGCTACAGATGCAATTTGTACATTGAGGTGCGTTGCCATTACCACAGCACACACCAATGCACAGATGTGCGAAGGTGAGCGGAGAACGATGGCAGCTCATATGCAGCAAACACCTTCATAGCACAGTGCGCGGCTTGTACAATATTCCTGTCACATACAAATGGGGCCCCGTTTCCTTCTGTCCCTCCAAGATTTTTCTGTGATTCTATATAATTTTCACCTCTCAAACATGGCCCCTCATGAGCGGTCAGCACCTCAAAAAAGTTTTACCAGTACATGAGAAGGCAAAAATCTATGTACAAAGTGATGCGGAAGCATACCATGAAGTAGGGAGGGCATTTTGCACACTGAAATTTATATTCAGACTGGTGAGGAAGGCGTCATTGTGAAAAATGAAAAGCACGTGTATTTACACACTTTTTCACTGAAGCCCTATTAAAAAAAAATAATAATAATAATAATAAATAATATAAAAAGTTTGAAATCCCCCAAAAAATGCCATTTATTAAAAAAATAAACAAATCATCAATATTATGTTTATACAGGATTTATACAGTGCCAACAGTTTTCACAGCACTTTACAACATGACGACAGACAGTACAGTTACAATGCAATTAAAGGAGGATTCAGAGGGTCCTGCTCCTTAGAGCTTACAATCTAAAAGGGAGGGTCCAAACACAACTCTGCTTATCTTATTGTGCAAAAAACCCAACAAGCAAACATATTAGTCAACCAAAGGCCAAGGGTAAAGCCTAGTACCAGGGGCGGACTGACAACTCATGGGGCCCCTGGGCAATAGGGGATCGTGGGGCCCCTGTGTCCTTGCCCAAACTCAAAAAAGCCTATGAAAAAGGTACCAGGGGCATCTCATGGGGCCCCCTACTGGCCCCGGGCCCTCGGGCAGTGCCCGAGTTTCCAATTGGTCAGTCTGCCCCTGCCTAGTACACATTATGACAAAATTGGACAGCCGATCTTTCGCTTTTCCACAAAAGTACATATCATGATGTGATCTGAATGATATTGACTTGTACGAAAACGCTCAGCCGACGAAGGCAAACGCAGCTACATACTAATTGTAGTAGAAGAGGAAGTGTAGGGTTGTTCTATGCTTCTCATCGTGCATTCTTTTCTAATCGATTATTTTCGTACGATTACTGTGCACACTAAAACGAAAATTGGAAGTTGTGTCCACTTTCTAGCCTGCTCCTTCAGTTTTTGTCATCCAAAAAGTTGGAAGCAGCTGCTGAAAGCACTATGCGAAAGATCAGATAATCGGCCAATCATTTGTCGTACTAAATTTTTCTTCCGATTTTCTTATCGTGTGTATGGGCCTTAACTCTAAAGAAGCTGCAGTAATCCACAGCTGAGATAAGGAAAACTGTCCATGGGTCATCTATAACTTGTATGCTCCACATAACTGGGCTTTATGAAAAAATGAAGAGATGAATATTAAAACCACATTAAACCTCATTTGCAGTTTGGCAAAAAGCATTTGGGGGAGACACAACGCATGGTAGTGGTGGAAACATTTTGAGAATGCTTTTCATTCGTTGGGACTGAGAAGCAGGTCAAAACGTAAGGGTAATTTGGATAGAGCTACACAATATTGCCAAAAGTATTGGGACGCCTGCTTTTACATGCACATGAACTTTAAAGCGATTCTAAAAGGTTCATTTTTTTTTTTGGAAAACAAAACATGTCTATACTTACCTACTGTGTGCAGTGGTTTTGCACAGAGCACCCTAGAACACCCTCTTCTCGGGTCCCCCACAGGCTCTCCTGGCCCCTACCCTCCTGTCAGGTGCCCCCACAGCAAGCAGCTTGCTATGGGGGCACCTGCTGCTCCATGTGCCCATTCACACATGGAGCCGCAACTTGGCCCTGCCCCCTCTCTCTCATTGGCTGACTGGCCGCGATTGACAGCAGTTGGGCCAATGGCTCCCACTTGCTGCCTCAGCGAATAAGGAGGTAGAGACCCAGGACAGTCGAGGCTGTCATTCACATCACTGGATTGCGATGAGGCTCAGGTAAGAATGCATGAAGGTACAGGCATCCTAGTCTTAGTCTGTAGGGTTCACTATTGAGTTGGCCCATCCTTGCAGCTATAACAGCTTCAACACTTCTGGGAAGGCTGTCCACAAGGTTTAGGAGTGTGTCTATGGGAATGTTTGACCATTCTTCCAGAAGCGCATTTGTGAGGTCAGGCGCTGAGTCAGACGAGGAGGCCTGGCTCGCAGTCTCCATTCTAATTCATCACGCCGGTCAAGTTCCTCCAACCCAAACTCGCTCATCCATGTCTTTATGGACTTTTCTTTGTGCACTGGTGCACAGTCATGTTGGAAAAGGAAAGGACCAACCCCAAACTGTTCCTGAAAAGTTGGCAGCATGAAATTGACCAAAATGTCTTGGAATGTGGACACCTTAAGAGTTCCCTTAACTGGAACTAAGGGGCCAAGCCCAGCCCCTGAAAGACAAACCCACACCATAATCCCCCCTCCGCCAAAAACTTTACACTTGGCACAATGCAGTCAGGCAAGTACCAATTATCCTGGCAACCACCAAATCCAGACACATCCATCATGATTTGCCACTCCAGAGAACACGTCTACACTGCTCTAGAGTCTAGAGGCGGCATGCTTTACACCACTGCATCCGATGTTTTTCATTGCACTTGGTGATGTAAGGCTTGGATGCAGCTGCGTGTCCATGGAAAACCCATTCCATGAAGTTCTCTACACACTGTTGTTGGGCTAATCTGAAGGCCACACGAAGTTTGGAGGTCTTTAACTATTGACAGACAGTTGGCGACTTCTGCGCACGGTGTGCATTTCAGCATGTGCTGACCCGCTCTGTCATTTTCCGTGGCCTACCACTTCATGGCTGAGTTGCTGCTGTTCCCAGTTGTTTCCATTTTGTTATAATACCACTAACAGTGGACCGTGGAATATTTAGTAGCAAGGAAATGTCACGGATGAACTTACTGCACAGGTGGCAACCTATCACGGTACCATGCTTGAATTTACTGAGCTCCTGGGTGTGCCCCATTCTTTCACAGATGTTTGTAGAAGCAGTCTGCATGCCTAGGTGCTTGATTTACTATACCTGTGGCCAGGTAGGTGATTGGAACACCTGAATCCAATGATTTGGAGGGGTGTCCCAATACTTTTGCAAATATTATTATTATACAGGATTTATACAGAGCCAACAGTTTGCGCAGTGCTTTACAAAATGAAGGTAGACATTACAGTTACAATACAATTTGGTACAAGAGGAAACAGAGGGCCCAGCTAGTTAGAGCTTACAATCTAAGAGGAAGGGTTGAGTTCTACAAAAGCTAATAGCTGTGGGGGATGAGCTGATGGAGAAAATAAAAGGCAGTTTACTAGTTAGAAGCAGGATACGCTTCTTTAAAGAGAACGTTTTTCAGAGATCGTCTAAAGGTGGATAGATTAAGAGATAGCCAGACAGATTGGGGTAGGGAGTTCCATAGGATGGGGAAAGCTCGAGTGAAGTCCTGGAGGCGAGCATGGGAGAAGGTGACATGGGAACTAGAGAGTAGAAGGTCTTGAGAGGATCGAAGAGAGTGGTTTGGTTGATATTTTGAGACCAGGTTGGTGATGTAACTGGGGGCAGAGTTGTGGATGGCTTTGTAAGTTGTATTTTGTAGTATTAGTATTTTGAATTTTATTAGCTGGGGCGAGTGGAAGCTAGTGGAGGGATTGGCAGAGAGGGGTAGCAGGCACTGAATGGTTGGTAAGGTGGATGAGCCTGGAAGCAGCATTCGTGATGGACTGGATGGGGGATAGCCTATGTAAAGGTAAGCCAATGAGGAGCGAGTTGCAGTAGACGAGGCGATAGATAACCTGGGAGTGAATTAGGAGCTTTGTGGTGTCATGGGTTATGAAGGGGTGTATTTAGGAGGTTGAGACGGCAAGCACGGAAAGTGATTGGTTGTGGGGCCGAAAGCAGATTTCGGAGATTGAAGAAGTGGTGTGACATCCAGATGGCTATGTCGGTCACTAAGTTAGTGATGAGTGAGGAGACTGATGTTGTGAGGTGAGGGGTAAAGAGATAGAATTGGGTGTCATCAGCATAGAAATAATTTTGCAAGCCATGCAAGGCTATCAGCTGACACCGGGAGGAGGTATAGACCGAGAATAGGAAAAGTCAGAGAACAGGACCTTAGGGGACCCCAACAGAGAAAGGAAGAGGAGAAGAGGAAGTAGAATTGTAAAAGACACTGAAGGTGTGATGGAATAGGTAGGATGAAAATCAACGAACAGCACAGTCACTGATACCAAAGGAGTAAAGGTTTTTGAGGATGAGGGGGTGGTCAACCGTATCAAAGGCAGCTGAAAGGTCCAGAAGTAGAAGTATAGAATAGTGTCCATTGATTTTTGCTGTTACTAAATAGTTTGAGTTTTAGGAGAGCAGTTTCTGGAGTGTTGAGAGTGAAATCCAGACTGAAAGGGATCAAGGTTATTCTTAATGAGGTGATCACGTGGATGTAGACCAGGTGTCCAAGGATTTTGGAGGAAAAGGGGAGCAATGAGGATGGGGCGATGTTAAGACTGGTGGGGTCCAAAGAAGGCTTTTTAAGTATGGGAGTGGCTAGTGCATGTTTTAGAGTGTTGGGGAAGGTGCCAGAAGAAAGGGAGAGACTGAAGATGTGAGTTCAAGAGTGCGGGATAGAGCCAGAGAGTGACAGCAGTATTTAAGAGGGAATAGGGTCCAGGGAACAGGTGGTTAGGTGGGAATTAGAAAAACATTTAGCAACTTTGTTTGTAGTAGCAGGGTTGAATAAGGGTAGCACTGAGTGTACCTGTTTGCACGTGGTGTTAAGTGGGGGAGTTATCTGTAGAGTGGAGATTTCATCACAAATTATATCTATCTTTTTTTTTTGTTTAATTGATTGGCAGTCTCCTGGGCAGTGAGCGAGTTAGTGGGTGGAGGCAGTGGTGGACAAAGTAGAGGGTTCAAGGTAGAGAAGAGATGATGGGGACTGGATGAGCAGGGGTAAATGAGTGATACAATAGGTCTTCCCGACAGTGTGGAGGAAAGAATTGTATTTTTGGATGGTAGTTTTAAATTGGTTCAAGTCTTACGCCACAGACATGGCTGCGGTTTTTGAGACTTCTGGTATCGTCTGTTTGCCAGGGTTATGGGGGTTGGGGCCTGATTCTGTGTGTAGTGAGAAGGGCAAGCTCGTTCAGGGAAGAGGACAGGGATCTATTGTAGACAGAAGTGGCTAGATTGGGGCAGAACAGGGATGAGATATTGTCATGAAGGTGGTCAGTAGCAGAGTGAAGAGAAGGGTTAAAGTTGCAGAGGTCTCTAAGAGTAATATTTAGGCAGTTGGAGGGATAGGTGGTGGAAGACGGAGAGCGCAAAACTAATAAGGTGGTGAGCAAAGAGAGGAAAAGGATTGTTGGAGAGTTGGATGGAATGCATAGGCAGGACAATACAAGGTCAAGGGTGGAATATGTAGTAGATATAAGCTCTGCAGACTGTACACTGCATACCATGAGTAGGTAAGTTTAAACAATTTAACCATGCTTTAAAGCAGTGGTCCTCAAACTTTTTAAACAGGGGGCCAGTTCACTGTCCCTCAGACCGTTGGGAGGGCCGGACTATAGTTTTAAAAAGAAAAAACTATGAAGAAATGTGGACACAGTACAGGAGATGACCAGAGACTGCGGACATACAACGGCGGTGGGAATACTGGGCTGGCCGCTCCATAAGACGCACAGACATTTCCCCCCAAGTGTCTCTTATGGAGCGAAATAGTGCCCCATCATTGGTGTCAGTGGGAGGAATAGTGCCCCATCATTGGTGTCAGTGGGAAGAATCGTGCCCCATCATTAGTGTCAGTGGGAGGAATAGTGCCCCATCATTGGTGTCAGTGGGAAGAAACATGCCCCATCATTGGTGTCAGTGGGAAGAAACATGCCCCATCGTTGGTGTCAGTGGGGGGGGGGAGGAATAGTGCCCCATCGTTGGTGTCAGTCGTTGGTGTCAGTGGGGGGGGGATCGTTGGTGTCAGTGGGGGGGGGGGAGAAATAGTGCCCCATCGTTGGTGTCAGTGGGGGGGAGAAATAGTGCCCCATCGTTGGTGTCAGTGGGGGGGGGGGAGGAATAGTGCCCC